TGTGTGTGTGTGTGTGTGTGTGTGTGTGTGTGTGTGTGTGTGTGTGTCTGTGTGTGTCTGTGTCTGTGTGTGTGTGTATGTGTTGGGGTTCATCTTACGTATATGGGTGCTTTGTTGGCATGTATGTCTGCATCATTTGCTTCACTTGATTTTATTTGACATGAAAATGGGATTAGGCTATATATGATACTCTTCTTTCTCCTTGTCTCTTATGGTTTGTATATGCTTGGCCAGGGGGTGGCACTATTAGAAGTCGTGGCCCTATTGGAGTAGGTGTGTCACCGTGCATTTTCAAGCCAAAGCTTAAGTGTGCAATAGATGCATACCACACTAACCCTAAGCAGCTAATCACAATGCCTTATTATCTACTGGCTAAAACACCAAATTTTGTATCTAAAAGTCCACTTGGGAGAGGGGGAGAAAAATGACAAGTGCAGTGTGTATGTGTGTGTGTGTGTGTGTGTGTGTATACTTCCATGTGTGAATGCTGGCATGCAGGCCCTGGTATGTTTAGCAGTCAAGATGGCAACTTCAGGTATGGGTTCTTGCCTTCTACCTTGAGGCAGTCTGTTATATACTATTACATATGCCAGGCTATCTGGCCTTGACTTCCAGGCATTCACCTGCCTCTGCCCCCCCCCCCACACACACACACCTTGTCATAGGAGCCCTGGGATTCCAGCTTTTGGTAGGTTCTGAGGATTCAATCTCTACTCCTCAAGCTTATACAGCAAGCACTAAGCCATCTCCCTGCCCCATGATAGGTATTTGTACAGGAACCAAGATCAAATACCCTACACACTCTAAGGTGTGTCTTGAAAGGTCCTTAACTAAGCCAAAACTAAACTTTTTTTTTTTTTTTTTTTGGTTTTTTGAGACAGGGTTTCTCTGTATAGCCCTGGCTGTCCTGGAACTCACTCTGTAGACCAGGCTGGCCTCGAACTCAGAAATCCGCCTGCTTCAGCCTCCTAAGTGCTGGGATTAAAGGCGTGCGCCACCACTGCAGGCAAAACTAAATTTCTAAAAGCCCATAATGAAGAATGTAACTAAAACAAGCACTCATGCCAGAAGGGAAGTCTCTAGCCTGCTTGGTTTGATTCCACAAGCAAAATAAAGGCCAGCACAGTGCTTAAAAATAGAAGCTGTGGTTAAGAACACTTGCTGCTCTCCCAATGGATCCAAGTTCTGTTCCCAGCACCCACACTGGGCAACTCATAAGCATTCCAGTTCAAAGGTATCAGATGTCCTCTTCTGGCCTCCGTACACACCTGCAGTCAGGTGCACACACACATACACATACACAAATACATAATTAATACATAATTAAAAAGCTTTTCTTTAAAAAAAAAAAAAAAAAAAAGGCTGGGGCAGTGGTGGTTGCACACCTTTAATCCCAGCACTTAGGAGTCAGAGGCAGGTGGATTTCTGAGTTCGAGGCCAGCCTGGTCTACAGAGTGAGTTCCAGGACAGCCAGGGCTACACAGAGAAACTCTGTCTCAAAAAAAAAAAAAAAAAAGGAAAGAAAAAGAGAAAAAAAGAAAAAAAAGCCTCAAAGTAAAACAGCACTATTTAATTTTATAAATGTTTTATAGAAGCAAAGATGACTAGCAATATATATTCATAAAAAAAAAAGAGAGACTCATCAGCAGAGCCCCAAAATGGTTGTTCCTTTCGCAAAAGATGCATCTTAAAAAGATAAATTCTGTCACTGAGAAAAACCTTCATTTTTTAAAAAAAGAAAAACATATTTTGTACTACTACCTAAAACTGTAGCACAGAGAACGCACCCATACCAAAGTGTTATTTCAGTGTTTGTCCTTGACCCATTCTGGTGTTTTGTTTGCACTGCCTCTAGCTTAACAATGGCCAGGGCCTTCCAGATGAAATTAAAGTGCTTAGAGTCCTGAAGAGAATTCTAGCAGAAAAACACCATTTTTAGCAAGAAATATGATAGTGTCAATCAAATGGTCTAGACTTTATTTAAAAAAAGAAAAAGAAAAGGAGGGGTGTTAAACTGTGTTAAGTTTTTAATTTCAGAACAATTGCTAGTATACAACAAACTTTTTATTTTTCATTCATAAAAACAATTTACAGCATTCATAAAACAAAGTGGTCAGAGAAATAAAACTTTTGGATGGATTCTTTCTGTACAGGAACAGATGAGAAGGCAGCTGTTTACTACAGATGAAAACAAATGCAATCCATATAAAGCAGGACTGGGTTGGAGTGGAAGGAAAGCTACACCAACCAACCAAACTCAGCTCTTTCATGCACGTGACTTGACATCTGCGTTCTCTTAAACACCACACAGGAGTGACGTAACACATCTCTGTAAAGGAGGTCATAAGTACTGAAAAAGGGGTAGGGGCAGCTTTACATATAACACACACACACACATTCTCTCCCTCTCTCTCTCTCTCTCTCACACACACACACACACACATTCACACACGAGGGTCGGATAGAGATGGAGAGAAGATTAAAATTAATAAATCCCCAGATAGGCTATCACAAAAAATATCCCTTACATATACAGACACAGAAGAACAACTGCTTACACACTCAGCTTTAAAGTACAATACCTTGAGCTCTAACTCGGTGCACCCTAACCCACTCTGTTCAGCATGAACCAACATGAGTTATATGGTGAGATACACACTTGAAGGAATTCCTTAAAAAAGAATCACAACTTTCATTTTATATATACAACAAATTTTTAATTATGTACTGAAAATAAATTACAGGAAATAACTTTAAAATGCAACAGAGGACAAGTCACAATAAAACATTCCCATTGAATTCTCTTGGGGGTGAGATTGCAGTGCTCGAGGAAGATAAATATCACAAATATATCAAAACTTCAAATTGTCTATGCATTCACACACTGACATGAGCCACAAACATTCCTTTCACAGGACTGTACTTTTTAGCCTACCACAGAACCAGATTTTGCCATAAACTACAAAACTTTTAATACAAAATTGTATTTATATATTTATAATTCATATACATGCCCTACCTGTAATTTTTAGAAAATAAAAGCTACACACTGTACAGACACTCTTAACTCATAGCTGTAGGCAACATTTTTGGATGGAATTTCTCCCCCAATAAAATTAATGGCATATTTTATGTACATGAAGGCTAAACTGCAAAAAGATAGTTCAGCTTCCCAGACAATGCATCTCCTTTCAGGGCAGGTTTACAAATGTAAAAAGGCAAGACAGATGTACACCTCAGACAAACGTACACCTCAGAGTTACCTTCCCAGCTACAAGAGTTGTCATGTGATTTCTGTGAAGTTTCTGATACATGCATTTATGTAATACTGGCATTGAAGGCAGTAAAGCAATATACACTTTTAATGTAGTGGCTCAATAAAGGCTTCATTGTCATTCTGATCTGATTCTTGATACAGTGATTCATAAATTCTCTAAAAATTAAAATTTCAATGGGACGCTATATTAAAGAGACTCTAAATAGATTTCTTAAAATATTTCCCTGAAATATCCTTTTACATAAGACAAATTTCACTAACATTAAATTCGGTAAAAAGAAAGAAAAGAATTAAACCTGGCCCAGTGTGCATGATGAGCCAGTGCTCCTCAGCCGATCGCCCGTCTAAGGAGACATGGAGAGAAGGCCGAAACCAACACACAATGCTCACACTCTGTGGCAGCCATCTGTGAAGCCAGTTACACTAAACTACTTCTACAGTTGATTGTAAACTTTGGTTTATTTTATCTGAGTTCTCATTGTACAGCAAGCATGAACAAGGGAGAGTGGAGTCCATGAGGAGATGAACTGTCAGTCTGTCTTTAATCGGGCATGATGAGACACCTGGTCAGTCAGGCCTGCTTTGATAGAGTTTGTTACAGACTGCCTTATGTTTTCCTCCATCAAATTATCACCCAGGGGCTTCAATACCTGTGGTATGAGAAATGTGCAAAACAAACAAAAACATGAGGTAAAAAAAGAGTACATATAAAAACAGATATAAAAAATTCAATTTAAATCAATGACAAAAATAATCAGGAATGTGAGAAATAAAAAGATGCTTCTCCCAAAAAAGAAAAAGAAAAAGAAAGAAAAAGTTATGATGCAACAAACAACGCAGTTAAGACATTTTATAATGCAACAAAAATTACTTTCCTCTCATTCAAACCCTTTACAAATCCTACGAGACGGATGTGCGGTCCATACCCTATGTGCAGCATCAAATCTGGTATGTATACAGCATTATGCAGACCGGCCCAGACGGTCCTGCTTATTGTCCTACATGTATAAGTGTGAACACTTCAGATAGAGAAAAAAGTTAAAAATACTGTCTAATTTCTCTTCTTGTTATTGTTGGATGACAGTCTCTGTCGCTGTGCTGACGAGAGAGCACGGTGGACCATTCGACGTCTAGTGACTTCAAACAGTTTGGAAAACACCTAAAACACGGAGTGATGTGTTAGGACAGGGACTCAGATGCCTTGGAGCTAGAGTTAAAGACTAGAAGAATTTCAGACTTTGTAGTTTCTCACCTTCCTGGGACTCCTCTGAAGCAAAGGAAAAGAGAAATGCAAAGAAATTTTAGACCAGACTAGCTGAACACAGCACAAGTCTCCTCTGACAAGGGGTTGTGACTTGTGGTTCTTACCTCTCTATACTCCACTGAAAATAACTTTACACAGCTGAGACTCTCCTGTGAAACTCTTCTATAATAATGGCACCTCTAAACTCTTAGAATCAATACTAACAGAAATCATTTTGAAAGACACTGTATAATTATTAAAATCAAGGTGGGAGAATAATATTGATTCAAAAATTTAAAGTAGATCATTTTAAAGCAGTGATGTGGTAATCTATTTTTCTATTAAAAATTATCCAAAGACAGCAAAGCAGTAAGAATGATTTTAAGAGACAAAAATTTGACCTTGACAAAATGTCCAAACACAAACTCCAAAGGAGATCTTAAACACAAGAGTACTTGAAAAAGAGAGAGTCCAAGTTAATACAGTAGCTTGGTTTGTACCAGTGGTTCTCCACCTGTGACTCAACTCCTTTGGCAACCCTCTACCCATCCCAAATATTTACATTACGATTCATAACAGTAGCAAAATTACAGTTATGAAGGAGCAACAAAAATAATTTTATGGTTGGAGGGTCACCACAACATGAGGAATTGTATTAAAGGGCCAAAGTATTAGAAGGTTGAGAACCACTGGTTTATACAGTCATAATGATGTTGTTATAATACCTAATCAATTTTCTTCAGAGAAAATCGTTGACTCCTTCGGTCTTTGAACTGAAAACCAAAACAAACATATACCTGCGTATCTGAATCTCTAATAAGGCCTCACCCCGCTGACCTAGAAGTGACATGGGCAGGCCTCTGCCACTGCCCATCTGTCATAATTACAGCTTTCATTCTGTTCCTGCGTGTGAGACGGTGTCTGGACACTTAATGAGGATCATTTTAACAACAACCACAAGAGAAATGTCTACAGTCAAACAACCCGGGTTGGAACTGTAAGAATCAGCTTTCTGTAACAGATAACAAACAGCTGATCCAGAGGTCTCTGCCTGGCCTAGGACTCTGGCTTGACATGAGATTACAGCTGACGCTCCTTCTGTCTGTGCTGCACTGCTCTGCTCTGTTTCCATGGGACAGCTGTTAAACTTTCTTTGGAAAGAAATCTCTGTGGGATTATTCCTTAGAGTACTGTAATAAACTGCCACCCTCCTCACAGAAGACATGAAGACCTAATATATTTCCCCTTCCTTGTTTTTTGTTAATATTGGTTAGAAAAAAAAAAATCCCATTTTCCTCCCCAAAGCACTGACTGTACTTGAAAACTTCTTTTTTTCTTACCTTTAAAACTTGCTCATTCACAGTATTTTCTTTGCTCAAAGAAAAATATTAGTAGTAAATCTAGTCCTACTCACTGTTTGGCATTATCATCAGGCTTTTAAGTAAGGATCAACCAAAGATATTACAGATTAACGCTAATCAAAGTCAAGTATGATTATGAACAAAGGGAAACAAACCTTTAACTAAATTAGATTCTACATAAAAAAAAAAATAATCAAAATACCACCACCACCACAAAAACAAAACAAGAAACACCAACCCCTCACCATCCTCATATAAAAAGGGAAAAGTAGGTGTACAAAGAAAGTGGAAACTGGCAATCATACAGAAGTCAGATTAGTCACTGCAAAATTAAAAAATAGATACCAACCTGTTCCCATAGTGTTTCAGCAATCTGATCAATCATTGTTCCAATTTCTCTGAACTCCCCAGAGTACTTAACATATGCCCACGTACAGAGGGACGTCAGTGCTAGCCCCATGACAAGGTTGCATAAGACAGCTATAGAGTTTAGGCCGATGAAGCCCGTCAGTCCTGAGACGATGTACATAGCAAACATGACTGCAAACAGTGTGGCCGGGGTACGAGCAGCATAGAAGATATTTTTGCCATCGTTGTGCTTTATAAAATTTGCATAGGTTTCTTCAATTTCAGCTTCAAGCTGGTCCTGATAACGGCGGCAGAATTCATCTCCACCCATTTTTTTCACAGAACGAAACTGTTTGAGCGCCACTTCCTTGAGATCCAAGTGTTTTCGTTCCAAATCTGAAGGTGCAATGTACGGCTTATCACCACCGCATACCTGAAGAAGCCAAATTACAAGGAGAGATTACATGCTAAAAGTAATACTTGAAAAGTGTTCCCTGCTCAAAGATTTTAGTCTCATAAATTAAACTACTTAGCATGGCTACTTTAAACTTGAGCATAACTCATAAGTAATTACATTAACTACTCTGCTGGCTGGTCTTATGTCAACTTGAGATAACATCAGGCTATAAGGCATTTTCTTAGTGATTGATGAGGAAAGTCCAGCCCATTGTGGGTGGAGCCATCCCTGGGCTGGTGGTCCTGGGTTCTATAAGAAAGTAGGCTGAGTAAATCAGGGGAAAGCAGGTCAGGAAGCAGCACTCTTCCACAGCCTCTGCATCAGCTCCTGTCACCTGGTTCCTGCCCTGTATAAGTTCCTGTCCTGACTTCCTTCAGTGATGAACTGTGATGTGAAGTATAAGCCAAATAAACCCTTTCCTCCCCAACTTGCTTTTGCCCATGGTGTTTCATTGCCTCAACTGAAACCCTAAGACACTGTCAATCAAGTGATCTTCCAAATGTGCCTAACCCACCAAAACTGAAAATGCAGTATTTACACTGCCCTCTCTGACTTTTCTTTACCCACTAGTAAACAAAAGCATCACAAAAGATTACTAGCAAAAGAACAGACTAAAGAACTAGTAACAGTACTTCAAGGATGAGCACATTAGCACAGAAATTGCTATTGGTCTCAAGCTACTACTACTTCCATCCCAGGCTGAAAATTCTGAATTAAAAGTCAGAAAATATACCCTGATGCTAGCCATGTAACTTATTTGCTAACAATTTATTCTAGCAGAGACCATAAAAAGACAATTACAGAATAATGTAGCATGACAATAGGTAAGGAGTGCAAATTAGTTCAATAGCTTTAAATATTATACAGCTTCTACTCTGACGTAGCATAGAGCTTCAACATTAGCTACAGACCTGCTCCATACTTTTACAATAGACATCTCTTGCTCCTGCTACTGCTGCAAGGTTATTAGCCTCAGCTGTTGCCTAAAAGAAAAGAAAATATAAAATTACTATTTTAAAAAAATGCCCTATGACTACAAATTCCTACTAACATAATAAACTATATACAACAAGCAATTACGGAAATGAACAGAAAAAAAATATCACTCTCTAGTTTTCCTTTCCTTTGGAAGGGTGTATCAGTATTAAGGGTATGATGCAGGCTTAATAGGACTCCCTGTCTAATTGGGATTTGTGCTAAAACAGATTTGCAGACAATATATCACTATGTGTTCAGGAAATGGACAGAGATAAACACATGTAATCCCAAAATGTGCTGAGTCCTAGGAATTAAGAATTCTTTGCATGAACAACCAGATTCACACAAGTGATTTATTTTCAAACACACAAAACTGTCTTTTGTTGCAAAGCTTTAATATAATTACTATTAATCAACTATAAAACTGAAGAAATGCTCCAAGTGGTAAATTTTAGAACACAGGAAATGTATAAAAATAACAATGCCCCCAAAAGAAAACATACACACAAAGTCTAACTGCACTAGAGGCAGCACATTTCTAGCAAATGAAACTAATCCTTATTTCATGCAGTAGCCCTTCATCAAAGACTCAACACTAAAGCATTTAGTTCAGAGGTGCCTATACTGAGCCATCTTATACAAAAAGCGTTTGTGTTATACCGTATCCCTCTAAAGCCATGGTTTTAATTCTCCACCCCCAACACACTGTCTGACTCTTACCTGAAGCATAGACTTTGGATGTGGTAGTTCCTCTCCTTGATATATTTTAATGTATGCCTAAAAAGACAGACGATTCACTGTATTGGTGTTCAATACAATTTGATACAATGTCCCTCAAAGAAATATCATTAAACATAATAGTTCACAGCATGAAAATGAAGTTCTAGGCCTTAAAACTCATACATTCTAAGTAAAACAAAGTCAATCCTGTCCTGAATATTAACACATAGGTATGTAACCAAATAAAATCCTCTACAGAAACTATTTTTTTATATAATTTATTTTTTCTCAAATTGTAATTCATTCACACGAGGTTATAAACACAGAAAGGCAGGATGTGGGGAAGGGAATGACACTGGAGTGTGGGTGTTCAGGGGGAATACAGATATCTTTCAGACTGGGTATTGGTTGGGTGAAGGTTCAGGGGACAGGTCACTATGACTCTGCCTATGACTCGCTTGACCTTATCTAGGTTGGTATTGTCTGCCAAGGCCAGAAACTTTTTAAATACAATTCCAACTTATCTAAAATTTTACTTCACATTTAAAAGTTTTATATATAAAATATCATCTATTTTATAAAAAGAAATGTTTAATTCTCTCCTGCTTTCAATGTTTCAAATGGACATGTTAGAAAACATGCTAAAACCATCATTTTACTTTAAATATTTTAACTCAAAGGAAATTCTAATTTGTAGTCAAAGCATAAGACTAGGTTTTAAAAACGAACATGAAGTTTCAAGGAACAAGTGGCGAGGGGATGAGGTGCAGCGTGGAAACAGTGTGGATTGAATCCGCACAGTTACACACAAAAATGAGATCCTCAAACAATAAAGGAGGGAGAAGAGGACAAGTTCATGGCATTCAAACAGGAGGTTTGCTTTCAACTTTCTACAGACTCCAACTTAGCTCATAATTAAACAGCAACTGCATCACAGTGCTGAGCACCCAACAGGGAAGCAGAGCCCATTAGCTTCTCAGTTATCCTCTCCCACCCACCTATCTCTAACACTTAACACAACTCTGTGTCTTCAACTTGTTCCAACAGGAAAAGCTAAAAAAAAAAAAAAGAGCAGAAAAAAAAAAAAAAGCTCCACAAGTACCTTACCTAGACTCAAAAAACAGGTACTTCTAGCTACTCTTTTTAGTCCTCAGACCTCTACAGGAAGACTCTGGGAGAACCAGGACTATAGCATTAGTCCAGGCATCACTCACAATGACAGAGCTGTGCTACAATGTGATGAATGGCTCTTCTCTCCACAACAGAGATGCAGAAAAGGAAGGATATTCTGAGAACAAATAGTGTCACTGAATAAAAGACACCATGTCTTTTTAAAAAGATTTATCTGTTTCTTTATGTGTATGTACGTCCCATGTGCAGGCACGGCCATCTTTGAGTGTTTATGTGCAGGAAAGTCTGGGTGCACCCTACGCTACCATGCAGAGACCAGGAGTCACGTGTTCTCCTCTCAGGCTCCCACATTCCTTTTATTCATGGTCTTTCTCTAAACTTGGTGAGCTGGGAAGCAACAAGCCCTATGCACCCCTACTGTCTCCTTCCTCTCAAATCGAGTCCTAACCATGTGAGACACCGCTTGCTATGAGGTATCTAGGAAGCAAACCTGGCTCCTCATGACTGTGCAAGTACTTGTAACAACTGGCCCTTCTGTAGCCTTAATGTTGATATAATGAATTCAGGGCAGAAAAATATACAATTTTTTTCCAAAAAGAAAATTTCTTGTCCGTAAAGATGTGTTAAAAGTTAACTACATTTCTTTTTGAGACAACCATTTAGCTTGGAGTTCACCTACCTTAAAATACTCTACAAGGTCTCTACAAGTGACTTTAGATCCACTTATCTCTTTCTCAACAAGATTTTCAGGAGCAAGCAGCAATGGAACCAGATTCCGAAGCTCTCGTTTAAAATCCTCATCGATATCTGACGGACATGAAGTTAGCCACCATATTAGTCCAGAAATACAAACAAGTTCCAATGACATGAACTCATGAGATTTTGTTTACAAAGAACACACAGTGAAGTGGATTCTATTAGTGAAGATTTTTTTTTCTAAAAAGTGTATCTAAATATGCCACGTCACCTACAGGAAAGAAAACCCCTATTACTCTTCCATCCCACTTCTCCCATTCCCCCACCAGTCTTTCAGCTCAAATGATGAACTTTCTAAACAAATTCTAGACTGACTAAAACACCTTTGTTTAAAAAGCCAAACATACAGGGCACTATATTAAATTCTGGTGTTAGGCTGTTTTTTCTAGTTGTACATGCAGATAGAGCACTTATATACATAAAACAAATCTTTTAAAAAATTTTTAAATAAAATAAATGGTTAATCAGTATGCTATGGTCAATCAGTATGCTAAAGAGCGGCAATCAAAGGCAAGCTAAAATCAACACAGGAGAACATCGCAACTATCACACAGTTGTCACTAAAATGAAAAAGTTAAAGAAATATTTACAGGCAACTAAGGAATCCTGAGAGTGGAAAAAATAGTCTTCCTCAAGGAGGACCAAACTAAGGAGTTGTTGGTCAGCCCTGAAACATATACTGAGTAACATTATACAAACTGAGCAGTTATATTTAGAAACAGATAAGTATATGCACATACATATATGCATGTCAGAACAATTAATGAAAAAAGAGACCATGAATTTGAAAGAGCAAGGAGTGGTATATGGGAGGACTTGGAGAGAGGAAAGGGAGAGAGAAAATGTTATAACTATATTTATAATATCAAAAATAAAAACAAGATACAAAACAAACTTTCCACCGCTACCTAGTAGTCTCAGCAAGCATGGAATACTCACCTTTCAGTCGTCCATCAAAACTAGGGTTTGTGGCAACTTTAAGTCCAGGATGTGGTAAAAGGAAGCAACCGAGATTTGAGAAACAATTATGAATGTGCTTCCTGACATTCTGTAGCTCTTCATGCTGGTTCTGTTTTACCTAAAAGAAGAAAATAGAGTGAAGCTGTAAACAGATTTTTTTTTTAATTTTAAAAAGGACACATACATACTCATACACATGCACACTAAACTCAGACTTCTCTAGAGGGCAGCTTTATTTACTACTACTAAAAAGTTTATTTCTGGTCACTTTTGTCGACTTGAAAGGCATATCTTTTCCTTAGAGAAAGCTGTCTGAAATTCCAAAACAAACAACTAATTATAATACCTGACACCTGAATAAAAGTTGAAATTATGACTTAGAAACTAATAAATAAAGCATTTGTCTTTACAGCATTTATGTCAAAATCATACTAAACAAACAGAAGCCAAAAAAAAAAAAAAAAACAGACCGTTAATTTTCCTAAGATTAAGACAGCCTCCAAGCAAACTATAAAATCCAGTAAAAAGTCCTGGTGTAGGGGCTGGTGGGACAGTGGTTATGAGCATAAACTACTCTTGCAGAGAACCCAAGAGACTGCCTGTAACTCCAACTCCAGGCCAGCCACACTCTGGCCTCCACACACACAGCACTCACTCACAGGCCCGCGTCAGCAGACACACATACATAATGTTCAAAGAACTCAGTGCAGTCCAGACACACAGAAGAACTTCAGTGCCCTCAATTATCTATGATTTATGCTGATCACTGATCTTTGAGAAAGAAGAGACTGCTATGTATTTTTTTTAAGAACAGTCTTTAAAGACGCTTTTATTACATTTTCTTTCTTTCTTTTTTGTATGTGCACATGTGCAGTAAGTGTGAGAAGGGCATACAGGTGTGCTATGTATGGCACACATGCAGAGATCAACCTTCAACAACTATCCTCTCCTTCCAGCATATGGGTCCTGGGAGACGGAACTATGGTCATTGGGCTTAGAAGCAAGTGTCTACCTGCTAATCAATCTCATCAGCCAATGAAAGAAACTCTTAAAGAAAAAAAAATTAAATAATTACTAGCATGTCAACATTTAAAAAACATTTTTTTTAAAAATAATTACTAGCATGTCTACATTAGGAGGTTTTTGTTTTTGTTTGTTTGTTTGTTTGTTTGTTTGTTTTCAGACAGGGTCTCACTATGTAGCCGTGGCTAACCTGAATGGAACCTTCTATGTAGGCCAGGAAGGCTTCCAACTCACGAGTGAGCCACCTGCCTGTGCCTCCTGGTAATAGGATTAAAGGTGTGTCAGTGCACTGTTCCACGCCTGCGCCCAGGCACTAACGCGTGCATTCTTCCAAGTGTTCTTCCAAAGGCCATTCTAACAAAACATGTACTGTTCATAACCAAGACCTGTAAACTACTACCTCCATCTCCGCCTACACAAGGAAAGGCAGTTATCAGTACAATACTGTACATCGTGAGAATAAACTAGTAAACTATATGCAACAATAGAGGCTAATCCCAAGAACAAAACACTGAACAAATAAGACACAAAAGAATATATTCTGTGTCAAGCATGGTGATGCAAGCCTCTAATCCCAGCATTAGGAAGGCAGAGGCAGGTGGATCTCTGTGATCCTTTTTGTACTTTGTATAAAATACAAAAACAAAATCTGTTAAAAATGATAGAGGGTACAAGTTATACATTTATGATCGTTTTACAAACACATTAGACTACACACTTAAAATACATGACTGGATGCATCGCTGTAATAACTCTGAGATCTTGTCTTTGAAGTACATAACTCAGAGTTCAGCTATATGACTAATATGTTATGTTGATTTCTTCTAAATAACCAGAAAAAAAAAAGTAAACCTGAAAATACCTGTCTCAAAATGTCTTCCAAATAATCTAGGAATTAATCTCATTTTAAGAATAAGAAAGTCATACTATGTATGCCCCAAGTATTTGAATGTGGTTGAGAAATGAAATGTACCATACCAAAAAAGACAAAAATCTCCTGTGCTCAACACATAACAAAAGGATCTCTCTCCATAGCCTTCTGGATGTGGAGATGTAATCTGGAAATACCTGACTGTTCCCTACCTCAGGAAAGTGCCTTTAAGGATAAAGACTCACAACCTTGTTCATGGGGTCATTTTCCAGGAATGCTTTGTGAAGCACAATGCATAGGAATGAGTGTCTGGTTCTTTTTAAAAGGTCTAGAGGGCTCAGCACATAAACTGGCTGTCAAGCAAGTCTGGTGACCTCAGCTCATTATCCAGGATTCATGTAAAGTTAGGAGGAAGGAATCAACTACACAAAGCTGTCTTCTGACCTACACACACATGCTGTGACATGCACACACCCAAACACGGTAATAGTAACAATAATAATAACAACAACAGCAACAGTTACTTTCAAAAACATCAGTCTTTGAATATTTACTGGTGGGTAGTTCCCCCAGTAAATATGGAGAATAACAATTGTTCCTTTATGTTTATTTAAGACTATCTTCTTTAGCCAGAGTCCATCACTTACACAGCATCCTTGACAGTGAACCGGTAATGTCAGGGTAGTCAGGAAGCCCACCCTTTGCCCAACCTGAGGCATATGCTTTCCTCTCCAGGAAAGGAGACTTACCTGCAGTCTCTTTTCAAGGAACTGCTTCCCACCTTCCAAGCCATATGAATGTTCATAAGGATAACTCCAATCTCGAATCAAAAACATTAGCGTCTACATACAGAAAAAAAAAAAATACAAATCACTTGTTACAAAATCCTAAGATTACTGAGAACTTCCTCCTATAAACAATGTTAATCAAGACTATAATGAGTAGCTCAGTGGGTAGAACATATGAGACTATCATTCTTGGGGTCCTGAGTTCAATTCCCAGCATCAGAAATTTAAAAATAAAAATGATTCCAGTAACCAAATGGTGAGTACACTGTCCATGGTTACAGTCAATGCCACGTAAGCAACTGCCCAGACCTGGCACCAAATGCTCAGCTCCGCTTCAAAACATCATTACACAGAAGGAGTTATCGGAGTAATAATAACACCCAAAGCCAAACGTGAACAAAAGGTATATGGAGGATCATCATTTTAAACCAACCTAGAGAACTAGAACAACTACACTTTCAGATGGCTAAGTCAACACTGGTTACAGCTTTGATATTAAAGAGACCGTTCTTACAAATGTCTTATCCATACAGTATTTGATTTCTCAGCACTACTGACATTTTGAACCAGGTAACTACTTGTCCATGGCTGCCCTTTGCATTAATTATAGAAGTATTTCTGGCCTGTACATTTCATGCCAATAGCATTAACCACCCCACAAAACTGTGACAATCAAAAATACCAGACATTGGCAAATGTCTCCTAAATGGATAAATAATTCTAGATTATGAAAACTGATATAAACCAAATATAGTATATTTTACCCATATACAAAAGGAAGCCATGATCTGCCCAATTGTTTCATAAAAGTGATTGCCTAAAACAGGTGTGTCAGATAAAAATGAGGCAAAATTAATGCAAGCCCACTAATATTGTAATCACTAGGAAGCCAACACACAGGAAGCACTCCTCGCAGCCACAGGCAAGCGCAGTGATTGTTCCCTCCCACTCACTGCAACTGAGAACAGCATGAGCAACAGCTTGAAACCTGAACCTGTCTATACGAAATGACGAGTAGCAGGGGGACTGACTTCAACTTGTAATCCGTCACAAAAAAGGAGGCCTATATGACATTTTATAACTTTATCACATCTAAGATAAATTTGACATACTGTCTTCAATTCGCTACTGTCTTAAGTTCTAGAATTAAATAACATCCAATTAAGTGAAGTGCCCTCCACCAAGTCAAAGTATTACAAACAAACTTAGAGTCCTGTCTTTGTCTCCTAGACTGTTGGGCTTCAACTAGTAGTAAGCTGATGCCGATACACCAATAGTTGGTTTTGATTCTGGTGCCACATGAGTTTATAATGTCCTTGTGGCTCGAAGCTTCTCACAGGTACATTTTTAAAGTACTAAAACACTTACTTACCTGAAATGGCTTCTGGTAGATCTCTTCCATTGCAAGTCTTCCATACTCTGTAAATAACTATAAATCAAGTCAGTTAAGATAATGCCACCAAAGAGACTGAAAGGAGCCATTTATAGAACTGTCTATATCACAGTAGATGTCAGTCATTTCACTGGCTAATATACTAGGTATATGAGAAATGTCCTCTAGTTAACCAATCAGCCATTTCTTTAAAGCCATACAAAATTCAAATATATTACAGGCTTCTAATCATGAATTTACAATAAAAAAGAATTAAGTTTTAATACTTTGGCATATATTCTCTAAGACATACTTGTAGGTGTTGAAGATCATCTTCTTGAATATTCTGAGACAAATTATATACCTGTTAAAACAAAATTCATTTTGTTTTTATTAGTGTTTTAATGAGTATAAATTCCCTTTTAGTAAGGAAGGTTATTTTAGACCTTATCATAAAGTAATCACTTAGTCACTATATTAACCAGTAGTATATGGAATGCATTTTTTTATTAAAAGAAAAGCAGTAAAATCCAAGAATGCATACATACTCATGGCCCAAGTGCATTATAGACTGTCTTTTCCTATTTCTCAGTCTCTTTCATATTACGTCATATCATTTTTAAAAGACCAGAAAAGACAAACTGAAGTCAGTTGTGATGATGCACTCCTGAGATTCCAACACTTAGGAGGTAGGGGCAGAAGAGTCGGATGGAGTCAAAGGGCCACCCTGGACTACACAGTGAGCTCTAGGCCAGGAAAAAGCAAAGGTTGATTCACTCCTTGAGTAAGCTGAAGAGTGTGAGAAGCAATGTTTAGAAAATGTTTCTTCTTGGTACAGGATATATGTTCATTCAGTAGGTTCTGGGCTTTTTGCTTGTTTAGTTTTGTTCTGGATTCTTAAAAAGGATTTCCTTACTTAGTCCAGACTGGTCTCAAACTTCAACAATTCTCCTGCCTCTGCCTCCTTCCCATGTGCTAAGATTTCAGAGCCCTGCAATGACTGGCACGCATCGTCACGCATGCCATGGTGTCTTTTTCCCTGAGTTGGTGAACATAAGCAACATGAAATGTTTACCAGGCCACAGAAACTAGTAACCCAGCAGCAGGTGGCACTATTGCCCTTTTAAGAATGTCCTGGAGGCTTTCCAAAACAGCAGAACTGATAATGGTTGTCCTCTGATCTTTGGAGAAGTTTGTCAGGTCTAGTCCTTTCATGACAGAGCATTACAAAAGAAAGTACTACAGTGACACCTAAGACACAACCTCTATGACAGAATCAGTAAATGCAGCTGCTCCAAAGACAGAACAAACAGGTGATAATCAAGTAAACTTGAGAAGTCAAGAGCATAAACACCAAAAGTGATGCTTAGTCACTGATTAATCCCAAACAGGGTATCTAAAATATAAAAAGCCCACAGCATAATCAATTTATTCTTATCTGTGTGGGCCTAAACTTTTAGAACACAGGTAAAGAGAGATGGGCCTCTGTTATCTTAAACCACTGGGTCTCAGCATACTGCCTTGGACTCAGTACGTCCTAAGAGTCTGTTGAATGTAATCAAGATCAATGTGTCATCTGTCTACCAGCCCAAAAGAAAAACTGTTTCAGACAGCCTTGTACGGCCTCCAACTAGCTCTCGTTAGGGAGCTCAGCAGCCTAACTCAGTTCCCTAAGTGCTGAGGCTACAGAAGTGCACTACTGCCTGGAAATCACAACTTACTTAAGGAAGAAATGCCCTTCCAAGGTCTGTAGAAAGTCGTTCTGAGGCTAGGACTATAGCTCAGTGGCACATTGTCTGCTGGCACCCATGACACCACATATCAATCCCCACTACCACCCCTCACAAAACAAGTCTATAGAAACTATTATAGACTATTACTATTATAGGCACTACCTCATTTAGATTTCATCGTTTACAACACACAACTACTATATTTGACATAGGCAGAGTGAGTAAAATCCTCAGCTTATAGATAAGAAAGTGTCTGAGTGGTATAAGCTGTTCAAAACCAAATCCCCTACCATCAAAAAGTTATATAAACAAAAGAATAGCAACGAAGTTTAGGGTAGAGCTTCTCCACTGTAATTTAAGAGAGGCAAGCCTCAAACTGTAACATCAGCTAAGCAGAAGCGCTAAACTGTGAAAAACAGAAAAGGATGGCCTCTGCTGCCTCTCAGGATCTATAGTCACGCTACTTTGTACAGAAAACACAACAAAAATAAAGACTTCTGAGGGTCCTCAAGAGCTTCTCTTAGTGAGCAGTGACAGGTATCCTTGGCCTGGAACAGGTAGGCTGAAGAACTCCTCTTTGCACACAGTAATATCCAGGCTTCTCCCAGTCAGGTTATGGAAGGAGGAAGAAAGGGAACTAACTGAGACTGCTGATGTTTCTGACATTATTACAGATCATCACAAAGTCACAAGACATTCTGAAGAACTGCTTATGAACTATACTGATATGGACAGTTTCTATTGTATGAGAATTTTCAAATATCCTTCCTATGCACTATCACCAGCAGATCTAGGAGACCATCCTCCCAGCATTAATTTTTGAGCCCGAGAGATATCCATACAAATGATCCCAAAAAAGGAAAGGAATACAAAACCATGTATGTTGGCTGACCTCGCTCACCTAGATTACACAGAGATAATCTATCTGAAGCAAGGAGAACTTGGTAGGAAAAGCACAATCAGAGTACACTGTGAGTAACATAGGAGGACAATACCCTTTTCTAAGCAAAAACCAGTGCTAAAATTCTCTATCACTTGGGTTTTCTAAATTAAATATTAATTGTTGCTGGGTAGTGGCAGCACACACCTTTAATCCCAGCACTCAGGAGGCAGAGGCAGACAGATCTCTAAGCTTGAGGCCAGCCTGGTCTACAGTTTGAGTTCCAGGACAGGCACGGCCACACAGGGAAACCCTGTCTCAATAACACATACATACATACATACATACATACATACATACATACATACATACATACAAACAATCTGGGGTTTTTTTTAAAGTTCAAATAATCAAGAACTGTGAAAGAAACCAAACAGAAAACTAGGCTGCTATTTAATTATTTGGTGTTTTTGTTTTGTTTTTGGTTAAGCAGTCATATGATTGATTTTAATTATAGACAATATTCAATAACTTTCCCCCTAAAGATTTCTTAATTTTAATTTTATGTGTATGAATGTTTGCCTGAATGAGTATACCATATGCACACCAGCAGCATAAACTGGACTTAATAGTTTGTTGGTATTTTTAAAATAAAGACACAGTGGGTAGGGAGGTAGGGAGGATCTAGAAAACATGATTAAAATATATTGTATAAAAAATTATCAAAAAAAAGACAAAGTGAGAATACAAAGTTGGGTGGATAGGAGAGGGGTGGATCTGGGAAGAGTTGGGGGAAGGGAGTGAATATGATCAAAACACACTGAATACAATTCTCATCACTAATGAAAATTCTGTTGTCATTAAAGCAAAGGTGGCTTTGGCGTAACTTCATCCTTTATATCTAATTCAAAGTATATAAGTTTATAGCTTATTACATAAATAATAAGAAATACAACTAGCCCTCTCTTTTCTTCAATCAAAAGCGTTTTATGGAGGTTGCACAAAGGTAGGATTTTATGAGCTGACAGAACACGCATGCTCACCTGGACAGAGCTCGTCATAGTGCTCAGAGCAAACACTGTTGCACAGTCTTTAATGGTTGACTGGCTATCAAAGGCACCCTGGGTATCCATTAGCAGCACAGCCACCTAGGAATTTGAAAGTTTAAAATACTTAGTAAAAGAATCACCAAAAATACCTACAAAAATCATACATTAAATAATAAAGTTCAAAGCAGTAATTAAATCAAGGAAAGTATTTATATACTATTATACATTTTAACATAGTAATCATTAAAGTTACTGACATTAATAGTTTTGTGTTCTTTTAAATTTTAATACCAGAAAATTGCTCAAGAAAAAAATAGAGGGGAAAATAGCCAAGTGTAAGTAGAACTTTACTTTTGTTCCATTAGGTCTGTCAATCACAAACACTTCATTCCAAACTTGTATGCCTGTTGTTTCTCTTTCGCAACCTCCTCGCCACGTAAAGCCAGTCAGTGGTTCATTGTTCCCACCAATCCAGCTCTGAGAGTCCTGTTAAATCAAGAGGTAAAGCACATGCCAAAATTAGGAACTATAAAAAATTTAGCTCACCCATTCCATATCTCATAGAGAAGCCCATGTTCAAAGAGAGAACCCCACAGTCTAGCATCCTGCACACAGTCCTGGGCAGAGTGCTAGGGGAGAAGTCTCCTAAACCAGACTTTGTCACTCCATCCCAGCTTCCACTTACTCTAGGTAAGCAGGATTACGCACGCCCACTCTTCCTAGCAAGCTTTTCTATGTTTAAAGATCATAAAATATGGAAACTAGCTATTTAAATATCTTGTTGTACAGAACAGTAAAGCCAAGTTCCAGACAGCAGGACTGTCAAAACAGTAGCCCTATCCTAGAATGGTATTAAAAAAACATTTCACACCACTGGGACTTGTCTTTTTTAAAAACAACTAGAACTTGTTTGGAACCTGATTCAACCAAACTGGCTTAAGGGTTGGGTGGGGGGTGGCTTTTTATGAAACAAATAGACATATGTACTCAAATTGTACTCCCTATGAGATAAGGTTAAATGGATAGAAACATTTTTCTTTTATTTAAAATATCTTTTTTCATACACTATGTTGTGATCAGGGTTTCTATCTCGGATTTCCTCCCAGAGCCTCTCCACCACCTCACCCATCCCACCCATCCAACTCCACGGCCTGACCCCCCTCCTCTCTCTCTAACAAGCAAATAAAACCAAAGTAAATTTTTAAAAACAAAAGAAAAACAGGAAAAGCACACAAAATGATACTTTTTTATGCACAAAAATTAGAACTGAGTCTTTAGCTACTAGATGTCTAAATGTTTATGATGAAAAAGACATATCTTCCTGGCAAATGCTTTAAAACAGTCCAGGAAACACATACACAAAGAAAAAGATAAAATGAGACCATATGTCTATAGGTACATGGCAATTCATAATACTATTCTCTTTATTTTGAAATGTGTTTGAAAATTTTTTCTGTAATAAAATCTTTGGGGGTTGGAACGCCTTAATGGTAGAACATCTGCCTAACAAGCCCAAGGTCCTGGGTTTGGTCCTCATCACCAAGGGGGGTGGGGGTGGGACTATCTTGTAACTCAAGTCACAGAGCTACAACTACTATAATTATATAGTATGGAGCTGGGGTATAGTCCAATGGGAGAGCACTTGCCTATACACATAAGGCTTACATTCAATGTCCACCACCATAGATAGATATAGTTAATATACCACAATGTAGTTTGTCTAGAATATTAAATATACAATGTCAGTGACTGACATGTCAAGATGCCTACACTTTAAAGTCTGCATACCCTCTATTTAAAACATCTCAAAGGAAAATTCCAACAAGCTACAATGTTGTGCATTACATTCTCCTGCACTCACTGTTCTCCGTTGTCAACACTTTGACCTATTAGGCCTCCCTTTCTGCTGGTTACAGAAACTCACACCATACGACTCCATTCACAGTGTTTTCTGGACTTGTGTTTCATAGTGTTAGAGAATCAGTGATGCCCTAGACAAGAACAAGTGGTCTGGCCCCATTACTTTCCCATTCACCTACTTTTCACAAGAAGCCTCTCTAGCTTCTGAAATGCTACCTATGGCTTCCACCCAACCTGTGAAGCCATCTGGAGACCTGTTGGGCACAACAATACACCTTTCACTTTTCCAATCTCTGTTCCCGATATTCCATAGAGATCCCAACACACTCAAACACACACCTTCCTGCTTCCAACATTCCTAAACAATCAAATCAACCCTACATATACACTGTTTAGCTGATCTATACTTTCTTTTGCCTAGATTCAAAACCTCTGACACTGGAGGGATCAAACAGTACACATAAGAAACTATTATTCATTCCCCTACAATGTCAAAAATCTGCTCCTCCAAAAGTTTTTTTTTTCCAATTTAACCTACACAAGTAAAAGAATCTGTTCTCAGAGATCTGGTTTTACTCAATATATTACCTTGCTCCTATATGAGAATGTAAATTGAAAACTGAAGTTTTACTTCATTCTGCCTAGCTTATAAGGAAGCATTAAATGAATTAGCATTAAATGAATATTAAATGAATAAAAATGATACTTATAAAATTCAATATGCTTTCTTTAGAATATAGGTATCAGGCATAAAAGAAATATGACTGTTCTAGTCCTAGAAATAAGAACAGTAAAAAAAAATTTAAAGCATGACAAAAATCATAGACCTATATAACATGCTTAAAAACCCTCATGTTCAAGGAAACCAAAAAGAATTGATGTCTCACAGGAATGTATCATTATGTATAATCTCTTCTTAGTTCGTTCTATATCTAGTTAAAAAAAAAGTAAATTAAGGATTCTAGATAACCAAATTCTCAAACAAAATAAAACCTATTATTTCTCTAGTGAATGAACAAAGAGGGCTTTAGAAAAAATAATTATTAATTCAGTCAACAAATAATTTACTGACCTTCTACTAAATTCTGAATATTGTTAAAAATCTAGAGTTCTCTAAATGAACAAAAACATTCTTGCCCTCAAAAAGCATTCTAGTGGATTCTGGAAGCTGTCTTGCTTCTAACAGACCCTATTTCCTCCAGGAATTTATTAAAAGCAAACCTAGGAATTCAAAAGCACTAATCTGGTACCATTTGCCGCTGTAGAGACAAAAATGTCTCAAAACCCATATTCCTCATAGTAGAAACTTCATAGTAGAAAACACAGAGCTTTAAAGTGAATCTCAACTGAAAAGGCAATCTACACTTTGTAAATGACGGCAAACAATAAATGCAGCTCTTACCCAAAGACTCACCTACATAATACAATTATCAGCAATAAACTCTACCTCAGGAGCATGAAGCTCATACTTGTAAGAAAAGGAAATGTTCCTCATAACAAACCTTAATGCCAGGTATCCCTCACAGCATCCCAGCTTCCTGTACCAAAAAGCTTACTCCCTTCATAATGGTGAGGCTGGACGAATCTAAAAGCCGTAACTCATCACAGTTAGCAGTAAAAGAGACGAAAGACATGGAATCAAGCCCCCAAATTAAGGAAGGAAATATTCCCTCATTTCAAGGTATTTCTCAGAATAATAATCACAAACAAAAATCTTAATCTATATAAAGCTCAAATTAGCAGATAAAACAAGTAGTGTTTGACACTTTACCAACTGTAGTTTAGGATTATATGAGAGTATGAAGTCACAGAACAAATTATAAACATTCCAAACAGTTAAAACTACTTATTACTCATGCACTCAAACTGTCCCATGTCTAACTCTTCTATTCTGGGGTTGGATAAACAGACATAAACTCAGACCCCAGACAATTCTAACAACTTAATTACATTCTAAAGAGAACTTAAGTCAATCTGTTTTTAAAAGCTCATCTTGAGTAGTATTCTTGACCATGAAGACACTCAGCTAAGACAAATAAACTAGATACAAAAAAAAGATAGAGACTGCACAATTTCTACTCCTAAAACGTGCACAGAGTAGTCAAGAAAAGAAAGACGCATGCTGGCTTCCAGACCTAGAGGGAAATGGGTTAGGATCCTAATGTTTCTAAGCTTCAAACCAAAAAGACAAAAAAAAAAAAAAAATGTGAAAAGATTCGTAACTAGAATCTGCTAGAAACAATGTGATTGAACTTAATACCACTGAACTGTACACCTGAAAATGGTTAATATACTGAATCTTATACTGTGGATATCACTTTAAAAAAACAAAAGTGTCCAAAGGCTGCTGGAAAAGAAAGAGGAGCTAGTCTGGTTACTGAGTGGATGTGTGACCTGGAGCTCTGACTTGCACCTTCCACTGGACCTTCAGTTTCAGCCTCATTTGTAAAAGCTGAAGTCTTTCCAGATTCTAAAAAGGAAAAAGGTTAGCAAACTCAAAATTATGACTTTCCTTTCTTGAACAAAACAAAACAAAACAAAACTGAGTTCTCAAGCAAAATACCACTCCAAAACCTGAAAGCCCAAGAACTGCCACAAACTGAGTTCCCTAGGAGGAGCAGTACTAGTTGGGGAACTGGCAGTAATGCACAAATACAATTTCACACTGCCAGAATGAGGTAAACTAGCCTGAATTAAGACACCTAGAGGAACACCACACTTGTAGGCATTCCTCCCAGAACTCCAAAGTTCTCATGGCACAGCTAGACAAAAACAGCCGCTTTTAAATTCACTAGACAAAAAAAATGATTATTTTCAAGTATATACACCCAGAAGAGTCTTGCAACCGAGGCCTGTCCTGTTGTTCAAACGAACCTGACAGAGATCTATGGAGAGCTGCAAAGGGACACTTAGCCAATTTCAGCCCCTGTATCCTTGTCTAGGCTAAGAAGTGGAGGTGGGGGATAAGAACTGAAAGTTCAGCACTGTAATCTCAGCACTGAGGAGGCTGAGGTGGGAGAAGTCATGCACCTGCAAGACTAAGCTAGGCTATATATACCAAGACCCTATCTAAACCCTTAAAAATAAATAAAAGGAAAAACAATTAGTGAAGGTAAGAGCCAGTTATCATCAGTATCATTTCAAAAGGCACAGAAAAGACTTTTGACAAAACCCTACATTCCCTGATACAAGCCTTAAAGAAGCTAGAAACAGAAAGGAAAAACTCCAGTATAATTATGGCCACATAAACATATAGCCAATATTATACCAAACTGAGAAAAAAATCAAAACATTTCTTCTAAACATCAAAGTTGGACAAGTATGCTTTCTTGCTCTACTCTTACTCACTGTATCCCTTAGCAAGGTAATAAACCAGTAAGGAAAAGGAACGCGTGAAAAAAAGGAAGAGGCAACCACCCTCATCTTGTACATAAGAGTCCGAAGATTCCACTAGGGAAAACTTCAGCAAAGCAGCCCGGCGCAAAGTCAACTTGAAACTCAGCAGCTTTTCCACACAGTGACAAATATGCGGAGAAGAAACCAGGAGGACAATAACTTCAAAAAAATAAAAGACTTAAGAATAAATCTAACCAAAACAGTACAACACTTCTCCAATGGAATTATGCGAAATTAAAAAGCTTCTGTACCTCGAAGAAAACAGTGAAGAGAAGTACTCTACAACAGAAACTGGATCTTTAAGGAAGTTCAGGACAATGGAAGAGAGCAGAGGAAAGCACGCGGCCCCACAACTGAGAGCATTAGACAAAGGCCTCTAGCTAGAGAACAAAAATCTCACATTAAAACCCCAAATCTCTTAAATTCCAATAATCTGATATTTCACACCTGACTTTCAGATATCCAAAACTACAAGAATAACATATCTTTTTAATACTCAAAAACACAGTGCATAGATTCTGAGTCAAAAGCAAGCAGATCTGTGATTGAGCCCAGCCTGGCCTACAAGTAAGTTCCAGGACAGCCAGGGCTCCATGGAAAAACCCTGTCTCAAAAACCAACAACAACAACAAAAACCAAAAAGATAGGATGCATCATCATCTATAAAGTATTCCTGCCAAAAAATAAATAAACAAATGAAGCAAAACCTGAGACTGATCTAGTCTCTAGACTCAATTAACAATTTACAGAAAATTCACAGGACAAAGAAACATCAACTATACCACTGGAGGAAAGCTAGCTCAAGTCCAGAGCAAGAAACTGCAAAACCAACAATCAGTCTTGCCAACAAATGAATTGTCAGAAAACAGAAAGATGGAGGGGTAAGAACACTTTAAACATGGGCTTTCACATGTATACCTCAACTGGAAGAAAACACTTGAAGCAACTGAAAAATGGATCAACTAGAAGATAGTTTAAAACCTCAGAAGGGAACTGCTGGGGAGGGTTGTATATGAACAAGACCCTTAAATATTTACTGATGTAATTTATACATCAGAGTTTACTTCTAAACACCAAGTAAAGTATGGGATAGTCAGATTATAGAGTTCACGACTACAAAAAAAATTAAAACAATGGGCACATATTACTACTTTCATATATGTTTAAATTTTTATCATAAAAAACATTACAAATGAGATAAAGTAGAAGCAACTGTACAGAATTAAGAATTTTCATCTATACTGTCATTACTATCACCTAATGTCAGGATTCTAAGTACTGTGTTAAGTTTCCACATAGTATGTAATTTAATTGTAAATCATTTTTCCCTTTAAAACTGATTCCTAGAACTGAAATTTAATGAGCATTGCTCTAACAATTCCTACCAACTCTAAGATAACCTACTCCATTTTCAAAGAATGTGATTCATACAAAGCAACAGACTAAAAAATTATTAAGGTCGAAGCAAATCAGATATCCATCAACAGATTAATGAGTAAGTAAATGTATTTTAATCATGTAGTAAAACAACAAGAGTGAGTTATGATGTTACTCAGGCCATTCTGTGAGTACAGAACCTCCTATAGCAAAGCAAGAGCTCATTTAGTCCTGTGACTCTTAACACACAGTAAGTGAGGGATTTTTCCCCTCGGGACAGTCACTGACTACCCAAGGAGGTAAAGTGTCACTTAAGGTGAACCTTATCTATTATTCCTAGACAAGTGATCTAAGTTTCCTTCCCCTCCCAACACTCTATCTTTGACCTATTTAGGATCAAAGGTATTTGCAGCTCACAGCTCACAATGGTATACTATTAAAAAGTTAACTTAAGGAATTAGAAAGCCTAAAAATACAGAGGATTTTTATTGCCCTGAAGTGCACACAGATTAAAAAAAAAAAAAAAAAAAACACTAGTAATACAGCACTATTCACATAGTTCAGTATTTCAGAAATAAGTCTTAGTGGAAAACTTCAAAATAACTAGCTTTAATTGGCTAAACACATAAAATATTGTTCACTAATATGAACTACATTCTTGATACTAAGATACATTTAAGAATGCCTGAAGAGATTAATTTACTGCAATGCTTCCCGGAAAAAACCAATGAGAGTGTTTACCTTCTTTCTTATTTTAAGATACATACACTATAAAGGAAAAGTAGTCAGACATACATAATTCAGCTAAATGTTACTTCGGTGTCTTCATGTAGCTTCTGAATGTCAAAGATCCCTGTAACGCAATTCCATCGTAGTATCCCACTTTAAAATTTCCTACTACCTTCTTCTTGCTCCCTGTCAAATTCCTGTTCCCTCTGCTCGACTTTTAACTATTAAAAAGGCACTCTGATTAAAGTGAGTCACTTCCCTCCACTTTTCTGTAGGGAAGAAAAAAATAAAACTCTCAATACCATCTAAGAGTGAGATTATGTAGAGAAAGCAAACTACACCTATCAAAACAGGCAAACGTGCCTAATCAAAACATCTGTGGAAGAAGCTGGAGTTATGTAATCAAGAAAAGGACTTTCCTAAGAGACAGTAAACTAGCTAGAAAAAAAAATAACTAAAAAGCATCATTAATTAATATACCTGAACCATGAAAGTAGAGAAGGGCACACGACAGCCTCATAAGTATAGGAAGGCCTCTTATGAAAAGGTCAGCCACAAATAGGGCAAGATTTAAGAAACAGCATAGCATATTCTTTCAAAGAAAAACAAAGAAACTATAGTACATGTAACTTACAGAAGAGATGAGGCTCACACAACATGGAATTCAGTCTAAAAGAATTGAATTTTAGCAATATAAGTGACCATGTGAGAAATACAGATATACAAGTTCTCTACTTCACTCATTGTACATGGCCTAAATAGGAATAGTATAAAAAAAAACAAAGAGGTGTGTGTGTGTGTGTGTGTGTGTGTGTGTGTGTGTGAAAGAGAGAGAGAGACAGAGAGACAGAGAGAGACAGAGACAGAGAGAGAGAGACAGAGAGAGAGAGAGAGAGAGAGAGAGAGAGAGAGAGAGAGAGAGAGAGATCTTTCTCAGTGATCTTTCAAGGTATAATCAGATATTTGGGACATAGCTAAAAATTAAAAATATAATTGTACCTCTGTCTTTTTTTTTTAAGTTGGTTGCCAATTTTTTGTATTAGTTGGGATCAATTTAAAAAGACACTATTCACCTTGTTATACATATATCTAAGCATGAAGTCCAGGAGAAATGATTTCCCTTTACGAAAAGCTCCTGCCACAGATACCACGACTATGTTAAGATCTCGTATGTGTTCCTGTAGCAATATCTGCTCCAAAGCCTCTTCATCAAGCTCAAAGTTATGGTCATCTTCATGGGCAAGAACAATCTGCACTGGGCATGGTTTCTTCATAACCTCATCTGAGTTTACTAGGTCATCATCTTCATAATCCTCACCTAGAATTTAAAAAAGAAAAAAACAGGTTACTTTAGTCCCTACATTACTAACTTCTCCTTAAAGACCACACCTAAAGCAAAATTTGAAATATTCCCTGTCTATAGAACATTTGAGAATAGTTATAAGAAAGGGATATTCGAGTTCCTTGGATTTCCAATCCTTCTGTAAGAGGACAAACACCATCAGTGAGATTTCCTATTTAATACACACAGAGAGAAACAGCTACTCTAGGTCCTCTATTCAGTCCGGCAAATTGAGCAGCTAACTGCTGAGTCGCATATGTCCTCCAGCTCTCCACACACATCTTTTGATCCTTTAGGAACACTGCAGCTAGGCTAGAGACATAGACAAAATCAACTTCACCAGATACTTTAGAGACCAACTTTCCTTGTATTCATCACCTAGAAAATTATTCCACAGCACAGAGATTAAGTCAGATAGAATGTAATGATTTTCATTCTGGAATTTGAAAAGTAAAATTAGGGTTCTAAGGGTAGCCAAATATAATCCAATAAAGTTAACAAGTCCCAAATTTTTCAAGTAAGACTTACAGCTCCCTAGCCAATGTAAGGGAGACTACAAGGACTGTTGTAGTGGAGAAAAACAGCAGAGATGCCAGGTGCCAGTGTCCACTGGGACTTTTTCTCAAACACCACAGCTACAATTTTAAGAATATATAGCTTCTATAAGCAACCAGATCCCTTCTCTGTTCACCACCACACAGGACAATGAGGTAAATTTGCAGAATGAGCTTTACTGAAAAATAATGGCAAAATAATTACAGAAAATGTAAATGAAACAACTGCCCAAGGTTTAGTTTTCTGTTCTTTAAAAGATCTAAATGTCTAATAACTGTTGATATGTACCTTGTTCAGTTTCTCTACCAACCTCCTGGTCCCATGGAGGAATTAAGTTAACACTAGGATTATCAATGTTTCTCCATCAAAAATTGTAAGCCACACTCCCTTGAGCCTGTCTACTGTCATTTCCATTCCAAGGAGACCTCTGATATCTACTGTGTCCCACACAGGAACTCTCTGTTCTCTCATGAGAAGGGCCAATCTACTTAGTTATGACATTAGTCAGCAATGAAACAACCATTCTCCACATAAACACTATCCACAGAGCAGCACCTCTGCCTATAGTAGTAAGGATTTTAACGGAGGAGAACACCTAGTTTTGCCCTCCTGATCTGCCTCTCCTGCCACACTGGAGGCACCTCTAACACTGCACAGACAAATGAACAACAGTATGTCAAAATGTGCTTTAAGTGATAATAGATCACAAAGAGTAAGCAAGCCTGAAGGGAGGATTTTTGGAAGTAAAAGCAATTACCACTTAGTTAGAGAGGACATTTTCATTTCCTTTTTCAATAACATTTGGCTGTAACCTATTACAATATCTGAATTCAAAAAAGTTGGTTTTGCAGGACAGCTACAGACAGTTAAAAATCCCAAGTTGAGAAATCATTAGGAAAGACCAAACCAGATAAGTGATAAAAGAGTATGCAAATTGAATAACTAAAATTTTCCAAGGTTAATCAGTGGTAAACACCAGAAGAAGATAAAACTCCTAGATCCACTGAGAGCTTCTCTGTGCCTGTTCTCACCCGTAGGTGGCAAGCACATGTCTAGCTAATGGTCACCACCAGTATTAAATGTGTTTAAATAGTGTGGCTCACAGTAAGCACTATAGATGTTTGCTACTAAAGTAAAAATAGTTTAAAATAGTCCAACAGGAACTTTTATACTTTGAAATGCCAAAATTCTATTGTGACTTTCACTCGTGTAACTATAGACTAAGATCACCATCACTCGCTGCTAAGGCACAAACCAGGGCCATCCTTAACATATGTCCCCCTTTCCCTGTCCCTTAACCACACCTACTCCTCTCACTACCTTTTATCTCATAGATCAGATGGTGTTATATATATTGGCCTTCATCAACACACTTGCTCTCCTCCCCAAACCAATCCAACCTCCAAGGGGCAACACACACACACACACACACACACACACACACAGAGAGAGAGAGAGAGAGAGAGAGAGAGAGAGAGAGAGAGAGAGACAGAGACAGAGAGACAGAGACAGAGAGACAGAGAGAGAGAGACAGAGAGAGAGAGACAGAGAGAGAGAAAGTAAGTCTATGGTTGCCAGAGATTCTGATCAAGTAAAGAAAATATGAGAAGAGAAACATTTAGGGGCAGTGAAACTATATAGTTATGAATAATACTAATTACACATTTACAAATCAGTTAACTAAATTTAGAAAAACAAAATATATACAGTTCTAGGAGTGAATTCTACTGTGAAGTATCCATTTTGGATAATACATCAAAGGCTAACGTTATAAATGAACTGCTCTAATACAGGACACTGGTAATGAGGAGGGACTTTCTGCTTCTTTTTTGCTTGAACTGAAAGTTGCTCTAAGAAATAAAATTTACTTTTAAAGGCTATCTTTTTTTCTATTTAATCATACTTTATCATAAATGCATATATTCATGTGGACTCCAATAGCAAAATTTAATCAGTTCAGAGATGATCCAGATCTATCATCTAACTACAAACTTAATTATAAGACAATAAAGATGCTTCCAATCTGCATTACACTGCTAATGCTCAATATATTATAGCAACCCAAACCTAAATTTACAGAGAGAGAACAAAAGAATAATTGCCTTTCAAAGACAATAAAAGTATCTTTTATAATATTCAAATTTCAAACACAAATTTAAAACAACTTTTATAAATGAGAGGTTAAGTCTATTTAGTTCATTTAAAAAAATAGTTATCTGACAAAAGCAAGTACTTTAAAGACTGGCCCTGGGATCTTAACACTTACATTCTAGGCTCAAATAAGGATATCACCTAAGTATTCACAAGCTCATTGCACTGCGTGTTTTTAAAGCCATGAAGCGACTATACCTTGGGACCCCTATTTCTAGGAACCTGTGATAAGGGAATAAACAAAAGTGGTGGCAAATACGTACAAGTTTGTTTCCTACTGTTATTTCTAGTAGTGAAAAATTAAACCTGAGTGTCTCAAAACTGGACAATGAACCAAGTTTTAGCCAAAACTGACAAACTAGACAGCTTAAAATAAATATACACTCTTAAGAATTAAAAATTTGTTTTTAAAGATCTATTGGGGTGTGTGTGTGTGTGTGTGTGTATGTGTGTGTGTTTTTCTTCTGTGTGTTAGTATGTGGGTATGTGCATGTAAGTACAAGTGCCTGCAGGTCAGAGACGCTGGGTCCTCCTGAAACTGGGCTTATAAGTGTTTCTGAGACCCACAAAGTAGGTGCTGGGAACTGAACTCAGATCCTATGCAAATAGAGTATGCATTCTTAATTGCTGAACTTCTCCCCAACCCCTAAGAATGACCTGTCAATCAGCATAAAATTAACTGAGGAAAAGGCAGTTAAAGTAGTAGGAACCAACAAATTCTTCTTTTGATTTGTTTTCTTTTGCTTTGCTTTTTAAAAATATAAGTAATCGGGCACATGAGAAATTGGAGACGTGAAATCACGAAGAGGTGTAAGACAGGCACTCTGCTACAAACAAAATATACAAGGCATTTTTTCAAACACTGGCCAGCCGTGTAGCACATAACCATAATCCCTAAAAAGGAAACTCATCAAGTGACCACTATGCTCATTTCCAATCCCTTGGGAGGGAACAATTTCCTAACTACAGTGTGAAGAACTAGGCAACAGGCAACTCTTGAGTTCACAGATACTGACACAGCAGGAACTGTGAGGCCGAAGCAGCCAGCAGCCCTGGGGCAAGGGCAACAAACCTCACAGGTGCAGGGAGCATTTCGCTAGTAAGGCTCACCTGAGGTCTGCTACTCAAGGTTGGAAGGGAAAGCAACACCACAGAGCAGGCCCTTTAGAGTGGCTGTGACAGACCGGGAAGATCTGACACACCAAACCTCATGCTAAAACACTAGAAAAGCCCCATTCAGAATTAAGGATCTTGTTCTCAAATCTAGATCCTATCTAAGATGTCCAAACAAAACCTAAAACTAGGACTTTAAAAGATCTGTAGGATGTAGTTTTAAAACATAGTACAGGGGCTAGGGAATCAGCTCAGTCAGCTAAAGTTTGTTTTGTTTTGTTTTGTTTTTTCATAAAAGAATAGGACCAGATTTCAAATCCATTGCATCAATGTAAAAAGCCCAGAACACAATCCTAACCAAAGGAGTGGGAACCAGAAGGCTTCCTAAGGCTTGCTGCCCAGTGCGATTAGTCAAATAAGTGAGTTCCAGGTTCACACATATATGCTCACACATAATACACACAGAGGAAATTTAGTACAAAACAATGAGAAATTCCTTCTCAGCTTTCTGAATATATACCCCAAGGGTGAACCCTAATTTGTCAATTCTGAATGATCATCAAGTATCAGAGAGGCTAATTTTATCACAACAAAAACTGGGTAAAAATGCTGACTCTAGAATGAATGACAATATCATCAAGGAGGAATCCAGTCTCAAAAATTAAGGAAAACACCCAACATCAACCACTGGCCTCTAAGTATATATGTAAACACATACACAGCTACACCACATACACTCAACATACAAAAAAGAAATTTAGTATAAACACAAATTGCTTGCTACCCAAGCATCAGAAAGTGAGTCTGGATCTCTGGCACCCACAAAAAACACCAGGCACACATCTGCAAAGCCAGCACTAAGGAAGCAATAGCAAGATCTCAGTCAGCCTACATGAACTAATGAGCTCAGGGGCCAGTAAGAGACCCTATCTCAAAAAATGAGGTAAATAGCAACTAAAAAACTTGTCAACCACTGGTCTTTGTATATGTGAGCACACACACATACACACACGGGGGGGGGGGGGGGGAAAGAAGGGGGAGGGAGGGAGAGAACGCACACCAACAGAAATAAAATGAAAATTTAGAATTAAAAAATAAATAAAATATTCACTGAATAGACAGACATAAAAGGAGATGGGAACCCACAGACGAGTTGA